GTGGTGTCGGAGGAGAACGTAGCAGACACATTCACGAAGGGACAAGCTGAGACCCAGTTCGAACTGCTGCGTGGTAAGCTTGAAGTGATCGAGATCAATCCGGATGCGAGAAAACGAGCAGTAAAAGGGGCTCAAGAAGATCGAGCAGCGTCGGTAACCAACGACACGAAGTAAGCTCTGCAATCTCGCAGGAGAGCGAAAGACGATCTCGCTGGAGTGCGAATGGTAATCTCGCAGGGTAGTCTCGCTGGAGTGCGAATGGTAATCTCTCTGGAGTGCGAATGGGCGGTAATTCTCGCAAGTGCGCGAAAGGTAATCTTGCAGGACTGCAAATGGTATTGATAACGCTCGATGATGGTTGCTCTGATAGCAGCGACGCTGATGAAGATGAGGGTCCTCGCTGCGGGGGAGTGTTAGATTTCGGCGAGTACACGGTACACGAGTCGAACAAGCATCTCAAGATGGTGACTGTGGCATTGTAGTCTAGGAGGTTTTCGTCCAGACCAGCCAAGGCATTGGTTGGTCAAGGTTTTCCCTCACCACAGAACATCTTAACTCACGCACAATTCGATCTGCCTTTAAACGAATTAACCCCTTTATTACCGCGAATTCAGGCCACGAACCGCCTTATTTTACGTCGTAACTTACAGCATACAATTATCTCGGAGTTTGTATTAGTCTGTCTTTTCCACTTGTCTAATCATTAAGATGGGACTATAAGTTATACAGAGGTTTCCGATTTTTACGTCGTAACACTGACGACGTACTTCAGCATCGCTGACTAACAAGTACACAGATACAACTTAGCCGATCATGTGATCGGGATCACAATCCACAAACACAGTTATAAACGGAGCTACACAGCACAGCAATCATATGAAACTCAACAAAATGCATTAGTAGCATTGCTAAAAACCGTACGGGAGGCTCACTAGCTCTCTTCTTTCTCCTCAGACAAGATTTCTCGACGTGTCTTCTTTCGCACTCCGGCGGCCTTGGGGGCACGGCGCAGAACGACACGCTTACCTAGGTGACTCGGAATTGACGCGCCACATTCGAAGTCGTCGTGCCACACTTGAAAACACGTTGTATCCAAGCCTCTGCGCGCCTTGGGACAGAGGAAGCACTTTGCATCACCCTGCGAGCAGTCTTCACAGTAGTAAGTAGTCTGGTAGCTTTTCTTCTGCTCACCTCGATAGAGGGAGCACACCTTGCAAGAGCGCTGGCGCCGCTTCTGAACGCCCGATACAATCACCCAATCATCAAGCTGCTTGTGTACGTGGGAAGCGTTGCGGCGGCGCTTTGGCGCGCTTGGAGACGGTGATGGCGCTGCTGTTTTGAAGTCTTCGTCCGTGAGCTGCGTGAGCTGCTTGTGCAGCAACTTGTACCAGTCCACGCGCTTCATTGGGGCGACGCCGTCGAGGCGACAGGCCTCCTTGTGTGTGATGTACGCGTTTACAAGCGCTAAGTCAAACAGACCTAAGAATAGACCCTTATAGTACTTTCGGAACCTGAAAGAAGTCTGGACGGAGAACGTTTGAAGGCGGAGTTGATCATGCACATCAACTCCGCCCATCCAGCGCTGGTAATCGGTCACCAGTTTGGGACAGCTGAACGTCGACTGCCCCACAGTCTTCAGGTTTCTCTTGATGGTATCTTCGGCCATTGACACCCCAGTGGCCAGGTAGTGCACAGGCTTGCGGTCCCACCAGTGGCATGCAACCATGGTGGGCACCGCAACCGACCTTGAGTACGTGAATGACCCGCGCTCTACTGTGGTTTGGTCGTGTTTTCCTTCGCTCAACGACGTGCTTGTCGAATCCCAGCCTTGACGTCATGATTGTTCCAATCATGTAGACCGACATTGAAAGCAGTTGAATGGCGAGAGCAACGGAGGTGTAGAATCTGTCGACAACAATGACACGAAATCCGGGGTCGTTCTCATCCAACACAGCCTTCAAATTTCGAATTACAGCGGCTGCTCCTGTCTTGTGGTCAAACGCCTGACTTGCACTTTCATGGTTTTGACGCTTCCCTACATATATCTCGAATCTAAAGTCGTAAGTGACAACATAATGCAAATGTCAGACCATCAAGTCATAACTTACGACTTTGCAACACTTATAAAAAAAATGCGCACCTGTGGCAGTAAGCAGACACTGCGTCGCACGTCATGAACATCTTGGTGCCATAACGGTGCGGCTTGTCCGGCATAAACAAACGGGTACTGTTACGCTTGGACGTTTGAGGAAGTACACCTTCGTCGAAAGAGATGATTGCAGCTACTATCCACGCAGCTAGGAATGTCATTTGAAGTACGTCAACAACAGCTCGCAGTTTCCACAACTTGTCTCTCTTGTCAGCTGTGTCATTGTTGCAGAAATGTAGATCTCGTAGGATAGAAGTACAGCGATTTCGAGAAATGAAATTGCCAAACCGTCCCGCCGAAAGCGCGCCATCATCGGTCATAGCCCAGTGATCTGAAAACGGACGGGTAGGGCTGAGCATATGAGCTACAAGTAGACCCATGACACAAAGAATCTCGCGCGGTACGTAATCAGGCTCGACTCGTATGCGGCGGCGAACATCCCGTAGCGTTTGACCTGGTACGCTGCGTCCTTCACGAACGAGACGTGCACGTTCTTGGCGCGCCTTTTCCTCGAGGTGTGACCTTTTGTATCTGTTTGTCTCGCTCGTGATGAATGTCCACAGGTTCACCGGCATAAAATAGAATAGCGATTCCAATGGAGAATCCTTTTTAGCACGAAGTGCTTCCACAGGCCTAGCCACTTGATCCTTCATACCTTTGAACGCGCTATTGTCGGTTTCATACTCGGAGGATGCAGGAGTCCACGCCATCGAACGTAGTGTAATCTGGTTCATGTCTTCGATAGATAGAGAACCCCCCAAGCAATCAATAAATGCTGCATCCATAAGAGGCGCCTCTTCTTCGTCAGATGACACGTCGTCACCAATTTGCCTTTGAGCAATATCACTATCATCAT